CACCTGAGCCCACCCAAATGGGGAACCTTAAGTAGCCATCCTTCTGCAAACTATTAGAGTCTTCAGACCTTAATAGTTTTATTCACAAAGAAAGAGAATGATAATACCTCCCCGCCCCATCACAGAGTGACTGGAGGCTGCAGTGCAATGCTGGGCATGCTAATTCATTGTAACCAGAATGACTTAGCCATAGACAATAAAATGACTGAATACAGGAGATGTTCAAAGCTCACAGTACCCCTTCTTTGTAGAACAGTATACCTAATGCCCTTGGCACTCCATTTATCCAGCAGCTGTCTTAAGAATAGAACAGGTAACTGGAGGAATTTCAAAAATTTACAGTGGGGTGTAGACAGAGATGGCGTGTAGCAAGCACATTGAGTGCCAACTTAATGCGTGCTGTGGTGCACTTCCTATGCCTTTGAGATTTGTACACGTTGCAGGGTTGCACCACTGCTCTAGGGGAAAGAGTGTAGGTCTTGACTTCAAAGGGAAAGGCCCAATGTTCTGCAGAGATTGGATGCCTTACTAACCTTGGAAAGATGTCTAGATGTTCGAGAGGCAAAAGTCCACTTTTCCCTAAATCACAAGAGGCATTACATTATCAGACAACTGAATGAGTGAGCAAATATGGAAAAGGTATTTGCATTGCTCAAACGGCTACTTCTGCATGCTGTGTCAGCAACATTCTGTGGTTTTCAGCATGCTTTTCAGGTAGGAGGTGGCAGTATGGTGGTGATGACAGTGGGCCTGAGACACTGTGGCTTCTGAGATCTGCTCCTTCCAGGTCAACTTGCTCATCTTCTCTGAACCTCAGTTTCCTAACTTATAAGAATGGCCTCTGTTCCTAGTGCAGTGGCATTCCACATGGGTACTAGTTTGAGTTTCAGATGTTCCACTTCTGATCCAGCTCCCTACTAATGGCCTAGGAAAGCAGCAGAGAATGGCCCAAGGCCTTGGGAGCCTGCACTCATGTGGGAGACATGGAAGAAGTTCCTGGCTCCAATTTCAGCCTGGTCCTTTGGGGAGTGTATCAGCAGATAAAAAATCTCTCTGTCTCTCCCTTTGTGTATGTAACTCTGTCTTTCAAATAAAATAAAACTAAACAAAACAATGGCCTCTTTCTCTCAGGGTTATCATGAGATTAGAGGAGGTAATGCCCCCCAAATGCTTAAGTCTAATACCTAGTCAATGGTCAGTCTAAGGTTACTCTTACTCTTGGTGTAGTTAGACTTTGTTCTCAGGGAAGGCCACATCCCACAGCTAGTTAGGAGCAGATGCAAAATCCAGGCATCCTGAGCCTTGGGTGCTAAGTCGAAGAACAACCATCACATCAGACATGGCTTTTCCTGAAAGGGAACTTTCAGTTATGTGCCCGTAAGTTTCAGGGCAATTCACAAACTTCTTTCCTCTAGGATTGATAAAATTTTACTACAAGAGCCTGGCCTGATGGCTCAATTGGCTAATCCTTCCCCCTAAAACTGCCAGGATCCCATATGAGCACTGGTTCTGGTCTCAGCTGCTCCACTTCCCATTCAGCTCCCTGCTTATGGCCTGGAGAAACAGAGGAGAACAGCCCAAAGCCTTGGGACCCTGCACCCACTGGAAGACTGGGAACAGGCTTCTGGCTCCTAAATTCAGATAGGATCTGCTCAGGCCATTGTGACCACTTGAGGAGTGAACCAGTGGGTGGAAGAACTTTCCCTCTATTTCTCCTTCTCTTTGTAAATCTGTTTTGCTTTTCCAATAAAAATAGACATTTTTAAAAAAAGAATTTTACTTTAAGACTTGGGTTGGAAATGCAGCTTTTTTGTTAGATTGTTTTTGGGGAAAGGAAAAACTAGTTAAGCTGAATGCCCAAAGCATAACTCTCTGTTAGATGCTTTCAGGCAGATGGAGAGTGGTAAGAGCAATGTGCTTCCAGATGCACAGGGTTTCCTGGAGTTGGGGTGCAGAGTGTCATCTCTGGATGTCACGAAGCATCAGAGGGAGAGGAAGCAACGGAAACATCTGAGATTCATCTAAGGCCATGCCCTGGCCACGCCCAGCTCCCGCAAATGACCTCCTCCTGCTCTTTGCATTCCAGGCCTGTCCAAACGTGTTTGGACAGCAGGTTTCTTGGCGAACACACAGGACATTCTGCTTTTAATCTGTCAATCCTTTAACACACAAGCGACAGAGATCAGTGTGTGTGTGTGTGTGTGTGTGTGTGTGTGTGTGTGTGTTTTCAAGTTCAGTGTTAGCCCCAGGCACATTCTTAAGACTATAGGGAATGACAGTCACCAAGATTCAGCTTCTCTGACATTGTTCCTGGATAAGTTAGGTGTTGTCACCCCATTTAAACTCTGATGTCTCCTAATGGCGATTCAGGCAGAAGTCATGACATCAGAGAGGTGAGCCTAGTGAGAAGTCTAGGTCATTAGGTGTATCCCCTTGGAGGGTGTGTCTCATGAGAGAGTTCGTTATTAAAGTTCAGTTCTGCTATTCTTTCTTTGCTGGTTCACCATGTGATCATTCCTCTGCACTTATCATGAGCATCCTTTACATTGAGCTGTGAGTGCACCTGATGCTGAACTGTAACTTTCAAACTGGAAGCTGAAACAAACCTTTCCAAGAAGATTCGCTCTGGTGCTCCACAGAAAGAACTAAGAGCAGACTAGCCACATATCAACACCAAGAGTCGTCCTGGTCCTTTATTGATGTTAGCAGCAGCACCTGTCAGCCATAGGGGAACAAGTGGGCTCTCTCAATGCCTTCCTTTTTAGAGATTATATGTATCTTGCAAAAAGACAAATATGGTTTCAACTGTGATTTTTCATCTGAATGAAGTTGCTTTTGAAGCCTGAAGCTTATATTTTTGTTCCATTTGACTGGGGGTGAATCTTTGGTCTTCTAGGACACCTTGGAGTTCTGGAAATAAGCTACTCAGAGCCAAGGATAGAGAACAAGCTGTACTGGACAGGAGTCAGAGGGGCTGATTTTGATCAAGTCCAATGTGTGACTCTAAAGAAATGAATGTGAGGTTTTGGCAAGGTTTACAAAGGGTTCTAAAGACCATCTGCAAAGGGAAGCCCAGCCCAAAACTGGTGCGAGCAATGACAACTTCTCCAGAATCAGTGCATGGTGACTGCTCCAAGGATCCATTCTAAAGACAACCATCCCCCCCACCCCCGTGTACATGCGCTGAGGTCTACACTACCCCAAAACAAAGTCGTTATTTACTAGTCACACTTTTCAAAAGAGTGCTATGGAGTGCATAAGAAGAAGAGGAAGGGCACTGTTGTAATGACAACCCATTCACCTTTTTCTCCTTGTTTTTGGCCCAAGGGAATTAAAATGAGTGGGAAACAAAGGAACAATTTGAAGTCAGGCAAATTGATCATGGACTCTGGTGTATTACCAAGAGTGGTGCTTTTTTATTTTTTAATTGAATGATTCAATTGTTGATAGTAAAAAATGAAGCAATAAATGAAAAGGGAAATCAGGATAAAGTTAGATTGCCTTCTAGAAGATGTCTGAAAAAGGGCTGGTAATTTGGCCAATTGATTACCCATGCTGCCATATGACCTAACTTCCATCTCTGTGAGCAATGGGGCATTATTAAAGTAAATAATATGTAAGTATTTGACTTGATAGTACAGTCTCAATAAATTGCTAGTGGCTGTCATTAAGGAACAGAAGCATTATTTCAATCACCTCATCCACAAACACACCTGGGAACATATCACACTCTTAAACAGAAAGCTGACTTACTGAAAGTGCACTGCCCTGGGAACTGAAGTCAGGCCCTTTAGTTATGTGAAATGGCATTACCTCAGAGCTCAGGGCTCCCAGTTCTATGAACAGGAAGGAAGCAGACTTACGGTTCTATAAGAGCCTTTTCCTCTTTGTTCTATTAATTTCAGAGATTAAGCAAGCCACTCCTCTGCAGACCCAATACTCTGAGATAACAGTCATTGTGTTGGCTGCAAGCTAATCTTGGTAGACTGGCAATGCTGCAGGCTCTTATTGTCAATTTCATCTAGCCCATGTCTCTCATGGCTCCTTTGACCACCCTGCTCTCAAAACTACCATTGGAATCCCCTAATGTTGAGTTTGAATGATGCTTGGGTATCCAGGGACAAAAGTAAAGGTTGATCAAATGAAGTTTTAGAAGCAGAAGCACATTCAGACCAAGGTGTTGAATGGGAATCCCTTTTTCTGTTCCATTCACTGCTCTTTATTAGACTAGGAAGTTCTTGAACTTGAAATGGTTTCTGTAAGGACTTATTCCAATATCCCACCCTGGACCTGCGCCATTTCTTCTTTCTCACAGCTCTCGAAATTCGCGCCAGTCTAGCCATCCACCAATCAGATGTAACCTGGCATTCCACCTGAGAATCCCACCCCCAATCTCCTAGACCCTTCTCCAACCCTGTCCACTCCCCAATCAGCCCCAGGCACTAATTCCCTGAGGCCTGGGCTCGAACCCCAGGTGTTTCCTTCTGCCCTTTTCTCCTGATCTCTACCACCTCCACCCTGTTCCTGCCCCGCTGGAATAAACGTCCTAAGATACCTCCTTGTATCTGGTGTTTTCAGCTCACGGTAAAGAACCAGACTGCGGGAATTAGCTGTGCATAAGATATCATAATATCATCGTATGAACTAGAACTAGAACTCTACCACTTTTCAAATAACTAACAGTTTCCACTAAGGGAAAAAGTAGGATCATTTTGCCTCTCATTCATCCTCTGCTTTCCATTGAGGGGGTTCAGTGCAGGGATCACTGGACTTGGAAAACAAATTGAGTGTTGGACTCTATTTTCAGTTCATACACAAATGCTCAAAAACCAATCAGCTCACCTCCTAGATCTTTTCTAGGGAAGATGTAAGATCCTTGTGTTTTTAATTGCTTGTTTGCCACCAAGTGTTCACAGGGAATTTCAAGAACACATCTTACATCGAAGTTTAAGATTAGAAGCATTTAACACCCCCCTCCCCCCTATAGCCCATTGTCTGACCGATTCCTGGAGCTTTCTGGGCTCCTGACGATTTCCCACCACGGTGAAATGGGGAAGCATGCTCTTGATTACAAGCCGACTTTTCCAGTCATCCATTGTTTGACCTGCAATTTTATTCTTGACTTTCCAAGGTGCTTCCCAAACGACCTAGACACAGGGCTTTGGGAGACAAAAAGCACACTCTCTTTCAGATATAAAGATAAGACCACTGCCCCCCTGAAACAGACTTTTAGGCTGTGGACAGGTTTGTGTGGAGTCAGCCAACTTCTTTTTCTGCCTCTTTTCCCACCCTACCACCCTTAGTGAACATCACCCCTGGGAAATGAGGGGTACACCAGAGGGGCAAGGTGACTGGGGTGAAATAGGAGTCCCTGGCCATGGGAGACAGAATAAAGTTCACTGGCGAGTAAATGAATGGGCAGAAGACAGCTGACAAAATTAACATAGTATGGGCTTATAAGCAGGGAGTGTGAGTTCAAGGCTCTGTGTTTGTTGTGATACATTATAAAACCAGGAAAAGATTCTTCCATTGTCTGAGACAGTTTCCTTCTATGCACTCCTGATGGTTGGATCAATTGTTGGCTTAGGGTCCCTGTAGCTACACCAGAGTAAGCCTTAAGGCCCAGAGAAGGAACAGCCACTAATTCTCATCCTGTGGGCACCTAGTCAAGTGAGTTAACCAAAAGTAAAAAGCCTGAAGACAGCAGAAGCAAGCAATACATTGTGGAAGGAGCTAATGAATCACTGAGTCTACTGGTTCATGGGAAGTGACTGACTTGCTATCATCATGGTACTTCAGTGTATGTTCTCCAGGGCAGATGAGCAGACACACACAAATCTGGGTTCAGCTTATATTTCTTTCTGCTTCCCATGATGTAGCAGAAATAAATCTATGCTAAGGCTCTTATATGACTGCAGATTTTTTTTTCCTAAGCCCCTTGATGGTACAGCAGCAGGCTCTGAAGTCTTGATGTCCAAATGTCCATCTCTGGAAAGAGAAATATTTTCACTACTTTACTACTGAACAAACTAAAACCTCTGGACATTGCAAATAAAACATATACAAGAAGACCTGAACAATGAAAGAAAAAGGAAGCAGACCATCTCGATACCATTACACCTGAAGGCTGCTATGTAGGTGAGTCCCCATGATCCTCTTTCTGCCTCATAAATGGTAAATGTGGAGCTGAAGAAATCAGCAATCCTGAATGTCAGCAAGCACAAACAGAAAGCTCCCAATGAAAGCTTGTTCTCTAGAACCAAAAAATCAGGAAAGGGGCATCCTAATAAAACAGAAAAGTTTGACAACAACTGCTATAATCCAGCTAAATGACACAACGTGAATTAAAGCTCCACTCCATTCCATCACTAAAGGCCAAGCAGGGGGCCAAGATTCCACATCCATCTGGCAGTAATGGGTCACTCTTACCAGTTCCCACAATGGGGAGCTGGAACTCACCTCTGTTCATCTATTTGGTATCAGGGAACTTTGAATGGGAATCAGGCTTCTATATTCACTGGGCAGAAATAAAACTGTACCCCATTTCCTGCAATGTCAGAGAAAGCCAGCTAAAAAAGATGATTAAAATATCCAATCACATAATATAACATTTCAAATGCCTAGGTTTCCATAGAAAAACACTCATCAAACTAAGGACCAAGAGGATCTCAAGTTGAAAGATTAAAAGATTCCACGACCGGGATGATACAGATGTTAGAACTATCTGACAAGGATTTAAAAGAACAATAATCAATAAATTCTTCAACCAATAATTACAACCACATTGAAATAAGTTTTAAATAGTCTCAGAAAAGAAACAGGTATTCTCAGGAATGAAACAGGAAATACAAACAGGATCCTAATAAAATTTTTAGAATTGAAAAATAAAATAACTGACATAAACTTGATAGACAATATCAAGAGGAAAATGGAAGGGACAGATGCATTAAATCTGACAATTGAGTAAATTCAGATGGGAAAAAATGAACAGAGACTCAGCAACTCTGTTGTGGGATTATAATGAGAAATTATTTATGACATGTCACTAGAATCTCAATAGGAGAGGATAGAGAGAAAAAATGGGACTGAAAAGGTAATCAAGAATAGTGACTTGAATCTCCCCAAATTTGGCAGAAAGGAGATTTGGAGATAAATAAAACTTGAATGAATTTCAAACACTATAAATGCAACGATATCTACTCCAAGAATCATCATAATACAAAATTGTGAAGCGTGAATACAAAGCCTAGAGAGCAGTGGCAGAGAAATGACGCCTTGCCTGCAGAGGAAAAACAATTTAATGATAGGAAATTCTTTTAAAATTAGAAACCATAGGAATCAGAAGAATACAGCACAATAACTTGAAATTGTAATTTCAAGTGCTAAAACAAGCAAATAGCCAAACTAGACCTCAATACTTAAAGAAATAATCCCAAAATATGGAAGAGGACTCGAGACATTCTCAAACGAAGATAAACTAGGAGAATGCATCAATAAGAGACCTCTATAAGAGTATAGCTGGGTGGTATTTGGCTTCAAAGTTAAGATACTGCTTGGGACACCCACATCTCCTATGAGAGTGCCTGGATTTCAGTCCTAGGCCTTCTCCAGATCCCAGCTTCTGGTTAATGTGCAGCCTAAGATGCAGCAGGTGATAGCTTAAGCACCTGGGTCCCTGCCACCATGTGGGAGACTTGAGCTCACTTCTAGGCTCCTGATTCCTACAGCCCTGTGTGTTGCTGCCATCATCATGATGATCCTACATGGATGGTTCCCATACTTCTCCAAATACACTACATATCTATCTTTAATGACTGTCCAAAGGAAACAATAAAACAAGGCATCTGGGACATTAGCAAGGAAAAAGATCAATGAAAAGAGAAAAAAAAGATGGGACTTCCTTTTCTCTCCAGTGTTCCATGGTGTGGTTGATGCTTGAAGCACCAATTACGGCATCGTGGGATGTGTCTCTAAATGTGTGGGAAAAATATTGAATACAATTGCATTACAAAACGGAATGAAGGCAGGAAACAGAGGTTAGACTCATGAGATGTGCATACCGGTATACACTCACACACAAACACACACGCCTAGAAAAACCATTGAAATGCAATTCAAAAAGATGCACTCCAAAACATACAGCAATCTAAGGAATTCTAAAAATTGTTCAAAAAAATTTACATAAAGTTAGGAAAATAGATTAAAATAACCAGAAAACAAAATAAAATTTCAGAAATAAACACTAACTTACTAGTAAATATATTAAATAAAAACAGTATCACCATAACAATTGAAAAATATTAGCAAAGCTGATTATTACATTATGTATTGGTAAAATGTGCTAAATAGAGGCAAGGAAGGGAGATTGCAAGGGAGCAGAGAGGGAGTTGAAGGAAATGTAGTTGTCTTCTTGGGACTGTATGGAATGAATGAAATATATTCTCTATGTTAATAGAAAAAAATTTTTAAAACATTTTACATATTTTTATTATTGTTATTTTATGATATGGTTGCATAGGTCCAGGGATTTCCATTTTTCCCTCTCCAAACCCCTCCCTCCTCACTGAGTTCCCATATATTATTACTATAGCATAGTTCTTCATGCACAGTCATATGTCCATCATTACGGGCATGGACAATGGCAGAGTCCAGCATCCTATTGTCAAGATATAGTAAACAGTTTCATTGGGAGTCCATCTTTAGTCTGGAAGTAGAGATGCCCAATGCATTGTATCCTCACATCTGGGTATGAAACTCTCCATTACACAGTTATTATAGATTCTTTTAATTAAAAAGCCACAAAATAAAATAAACAATAGGGAAAACTCCATGAAGTTTAACATGCTACTGAATGACTAATGTGTCGCTGAAGAAATGAAAATTAAGAACCTTCTTAAAACAATGATGCTTCTGTGTGATCTATGAGTCAATGAAGAATTTAATGAGAAAGAAAGTGCTTTGAAGAGACGAAATAAGAAAAATCAAAATCCATGAGATACAGTTTCTGCTGATCTTTGTTGGTGAAATGAGTCTCCTGTAGGCAACAAATAGATGGATTTTGTTTTTTAACCCAGTCTACTAATCTATGATGTCTGATTGATGAGGTTAATCCCCTTTCACACAGGGTTATTATGAATGGGTGGTAAATTGGTCCTGTCATTTTAGAAATGGGTTGTTCATTGATTAAATCTTCTGTTGCTATTTTACTGGGATGTTCTTCCCATTTGTCTTTGGTTTTTTTGTGGTGCTATTCCTCTTCCCTGTCAAGAGAACATCTTGAAGTATCATTTGTAGGGTGGGTCTGGAAGAGGCATATTCTTTGAAATTTTCTTGACTGTGGAAGAATTTTATTTCATTTTGAAAGACAAAGGAAAACTTCTCTTACAGTCTGGAATGTGTCACTCCATTCTCTTCGGGCCTGTAGAGTTTCCTGTGAGAGGTCTCCTGTGAGTTTAATTGGCATTCCTTTATATGTCAGTTGATTTTTTTTTATGTCAGTTAATTTTTTTCACATGCACACTTAAGGATCTTTTCCTTATGTTCAGAAGAAGAGAGCTTGATGATCATGTGTCATGGTGAAGATTGCTTTTGATCAAGCCTGTTGGGAGTTCTGTGTCCTTCCTGGATTTTGTTTCCCAATTCTTTCTCTAAATTAGGGAAATTTTCCCTTATTATTTCATTAAACACATTTTTAAACCTAGCTTCTAATTTTACACCTTCTAGAACTCCCATAACTCTTATATTTGGCCTTTTAGTAATGTCTTTCCAATTCTTGAGACCCCGCTCTGCTTCCAGCTTTTTGTTAGTTTCCCCCTGGTGACAGGAAATATCTTCCAATTCTGAGATTCTTTCTTCTGCTTTATTCGTGCTATTTTGGAGACTCTCCACTGTACTTTTAATTTCTAATATATCAGCTTTCCTTTGATTCATTTCCTGTGTGACATACTCCTTGAATTCCTTGAATAACTGTTTTATGTGCTTCTCATTGTTGATAAGAAGCATTATAACAAGTGTTTTGAATTCTATATTCTCCATTTTCTTGATGTCTTTCTCAGTTAACTCTGAGCTTGGCAAAAGGTTTTGCTCCTTTGCAGGG